GTCTAGGGTTCAGAGGAAAGGTAGAGATATATATTTGGGAGTCATATAGATGGTATTTAAATCATGCATTGGATGAGTTCACCTAGGCTATGAGTGTAGACAGATATAAGAAGAAGTCCAAGGATGAACATTGCAGAAAAAGTAGGAAGAAAACCAGATAAGAGAAGTGTCGTACAATCTAAGTTAAAAAGAAAGAAGGAGCAGCTGGGTAAATTCTGCTGATAAGTAAGATGAGAACATTGGCAATTAATATTGTAGAGGCAACTGGACCTTGGTAAGAATTCTTTTGGTGGAATGATAAGGGCTAAAACTTGACTGGATCAGGTTCAAGAGAGTATACACAGAGGGAAATTAAAACAATAAGTACAGACAGTTCTTTCAAAGTAGTTGCTATAGTTAAAGGAAAGATGAATGGATGGTAGCTGGAGAGGCAGACAGAATCAAAAGAAATTCTTTAAGATAGGAGAAATAATAGCATGTTTACCTGCTAAAAGGAATAATGCAGTAGAGCAAGAAAAGCATGAGAGAATTACTAGAGCAGTGTCCTTGAATAGGCAGAAAGGAATTGAATCTAGTACATGAGTAGAGGAACTGACCTAAGCTGGAATCATAAGTAATTCATCCAGAGTAATGAGAGAGAAATAGAGGATGTAGGTATAGATATAATCAGGTGCATAGTTGTGACAGTAGGAATATTTGAAAGTTACTTGATTAGCTCAGTTTTCTCATTTAATCAGTTGAAAATAAAGATGGGAGTAGATGTTGATATTCAAGAAGAGAGAAATATGAAATAGTGACCTTAGAAGGTATAGTAAAAAGTGAACCAAGAAAATACAGTATGATTGCTGGCGCATTAAAGACACTTTAAGTTAATGATCCATAATTTAAAATGAGACCTGGCATCATGGTTGGATGTTTTTTCTCCAGCTTCATTTAGCTGTACAGGTTGAATTAAAATATAGCATATTAATAGAAAATTTGAAGTATAGTAGGGTCAACAGATCAGGAGATGATTGCCATTGAAAAAAATAGTCTATTACTCATAGTTACCAAGAGGAGAGGGTAGGCAATGCCACAGGGGGCTACTTAGGGAAGCACTGGGGTCAGTCATCAGGCAGAGGGAAAGGGAGGAACTGTGGGCCTTTCTTTTTCAAAACTGTGGTTTTGGTGGGAAGGTACAGGTGAGGCAAGCAGGCTTAAGATTGGCTAGTTTGAATAATTTCAGTGGGTTCTGGAACATAGGGGCCATCCTTAACTGTGTGGTACCTGGTTATAGGGTGATGAAGGAAGGTATATAGTGGGCCAGAGTGTGAGGGCCTGACAAGGGAGGCAGTTGGGGATAGACTGGTTTGCATTGGGAAATTGTGCCCCTGGGAGGGGAGGGGGAGACAAGGGAGGCAGGAAACCAAGACACAATGACTTGAGCATATCAGTTTGTCCAGAACAAGACACGTTGGGCCTAAACATGTGTGGCAAATGGTAAAGCATCAAGTTTACAGAAGATAGAAATGTGGTTAGTATACAGGTGTAGGCTCAAAGTAAGCAGTAATTGGAATTGATCAAAGTTTTGGTTTTGCCAGCAAGTACAGTGAATTTAAAAAAGAAAAAGTATGATGAGAGTGTAAGTAAGGATTATAATACAGGCATACCTCATTTTATTGTACTTCTCTTCATGGCACTTTGTTGATACTGTGTTTTTTATGAATTGAAGGTTTGTGGCAACCCTGTGTCCAGCTAGTCTAGCGGCACCATTATTCAAATAGCATTTGCTCACTTTGTGGCTCTGTCACATTTTGGTAATTCTTGCAATATTTCAAACGTTTTTATTATTATATTTGTTATAGTGAACTGTGATCAGTGATTATGACTCACTGAAAGTTCAGATGATGGGTAGCATTTTTTAGCAATAAAGTGTTTTTTAATTAGGGTATGTACATTGTATTTTTAGACATAATGCTATTGCATATTTAATAGAGTACAGTATAGTGTAAACACAATTTTATATGCACTGGGAAATCAAAACATTCATTTTACTCACTTTATTGTGATATTTGCTTTATTGTGGTAGCCTGAACTGAACTTGCAGTATCTCTGAGATATGCCTAATCAACTGTGGATTATATTTATTAACCTTAAGCTCAGGAGAGAAAAGATTGCATGAGAGGAGTGGGTGAAGCAGTAAAACATGATAGAATCAAGGGTTTGAAGGTGATAACGGAGTTGAAGGGAGTTGAATAGAGCCGTTTGAAATTAGGTATTAAGAGGGTGTAGGGGCGCCTGGGTGGCTCAGTCAGTTAAGCGTCCAACTCTTGATTTCAGCTCAGGTCCTGATCTCAGGGTTGTGAGATCGAGCCCCACATCAGGCTTTGCACTGATTGTGGAGCCTGCTTAAGATTCTCTCTCTCTCTCTCTCCCTTTGCCCCTTCGTCCCTCCCCACCTCCCACTTGCATGGGTTCTCTGTCTCTCTCTCAAAAATAAAATGAGAGAGAGCATAAGCTACCCAAGAAAATTCATTATAAAAAAAAAAAAGAGGGCATATAAGCTGGAAAAATAGGAAGTGACAGTTGACCTTGCTAAGGACAAGGTCAAATGTATGACCATGGGAATAAGTAACTGACATAGCAAGGAGGACAAGATTATGTATGTGAGAAAGGTTCAAGTTGCTAAGAAGTCATAGTATTAGAAGGATTACCTTCATGGATATTGAAATACTCAGGAATTATGCCAGAAGTAGTATTCGAGAGAGAGAGTAATTTAGGATATAAAATCTTCAGGGAATGGGAGAAAGGAGGTGGTGGTGATGATGGCAGACTGCCATAAGGAGGTGAAATATAAGTAGTCATTGAAACCATAGGTTTTGTTACTTTACTCAGGGATACTGTGTGTTGTATGTGTGGAGAGAGAGAGAACAAACAAATAACTGAGGTTTGAGCCTAAGTGTAATCTTCAAAGGAGGAAACTAATAAAGGAAAAATAGAATGGGAGGACTAGTTTTTTAAGAATAGGAGGGCAAAATGTCAAGGAGAGAGAAAATACAAGTTGAAGGTAATGGTAAAAGAGTGATTCAGTTGATGAATTGTGGATTCTGGATTAAATAGAGAAAGAAGAGAAACCTAAAAGGTACTAATAGAAAATGGAAGGGTCAGATGGTTAGAGGTCCCAAAGAGGTTGAAAATAAGAGATGGTGGTGTCACAGAAGAGGGAGGGGTCAACTGTCAGATGCTACAAAGATAAGTACTGAAAAGAGTCCCTTAGATTTGACAAGTTGAAGGACTAGGTGATTTTAATGAAAGTAGTCTCTATGTGGTAGGAGGTAGAACTAGATTGTAGTGAATTATGGGTCAGATAAGAGGAATAAGGAAGTAGTAGTATTGACTAATATTTAAAGAGTTGAGCTATGAAAGGAAGGGTAGATAAAGTAACACATAGAGGAAGGCATAAAGGAAGGATTTTTAAGTTAAGGGGATGACTGGAGCATAATTATATGCTCCAGGGGAAAAGATAGGAAATAATATGTAGCAGATAGGGAATTACTGATGGACAGATGTCCTGAGAAAGTACAACCAACAGGTTTTAGAGCACAGGTAGAAAGATTAGCCTTAGATAGGAATGGCAACTCTTTTATTGAAAGAAGAAAGAACGATAAATTTAGATGAGTTTGTAGGATATAGAAGAAAAATATGACAATGGAGAAATAATTTAAGGAGTTTTTACCTGATTGATCTTATTTTCTTAGAGATGTTGAAGATAAAGTCATTTAGACATTGAAGGAGGGAGGAGAGAGTAACATACTTTAAAAGAATATAAATTGGAAATACCACACAAACGAAATTCATTTATTTAAACAATACTTTTTTAGTGACCACAGCATACTGGGTACTGTTGTGGGTTCTAGGAATGTAGCAATTAACAAGATAAAATTCTTGCCCTGAAGATGCTTACATTCTAGTAAAGGAGTGGACAACAGGACAAAGTGTCAAGTCATAATAAATGCTATGAAGAAAAATAACATGTGAAAATGGATTGATGATTGTCATTTAAAAATATTTCATTCTTGTCTGATCTTTTATGATTTGAAAAATAAAAGTATCATTTAAAATGTTTTCTTTGAGGGTTTGGGGCGCCTGGCTGGCTCAGTCAGTAGAGCATGCAACTCTTAATCTCAGGGTCATGAGTTCAAGCCCCATGTTAGGTGTGGAGCCTACTTAAAATAAAAATTTAAAAATAATAAAAAGACAAAATGTTTTCTTTGGAAACAGATTTCCTTTTTATAATCTAAAGGAAGATCATCCTTGTTTTATAGAAATCCATAGTACGATCAGAGTACTAGAACAAAGGAATGATAAGGTAGGTTTTTGTGTTTAGGAATTTGCAGAGTATACAAAAGTGAAATCGTATTTTTTTCTCCAGGATGCAAACATTTTGATTTTATCTTCTCTTCTTATTAAAAATTATTATGTAATTGTTCAGGCAGGAACACAATATTTTTTCCAGGTTTTATTACTCATGCTTCGTTCTGCCTATGGAGCTGTACTGTACACTCACTTATGCTTTACTATGTGCCAGGGACTTCCTAACCATAATATACAAATTAATCCATTTAATCCTCATAATAATCTATGAATAGGGTACTATTTAATATCCCCATCTTACAGATAAGGAAACTAAGACCTAGAGAAATCAGTGCAGACTTTGGATTGAACTGCCTGGCTTCAAATTTCAACTCTAGGAGGAATTTTTCCCTCTTAAGCCTCTGTGATTTTATATAAAATGATATTTATAGCAGCCTCTTAAGGGTTGCAAGAAAAAAGTGACATAATGCATGTAAACATTCTAGAACTCTGTTTACACATGATGAGCTCTCAGGTAGCTATTATTATTTCTTGTTTATATGTTCAGATTGTTTCCATGTTTCTAAATGAAAGTCTGCTTTTTTACTGTTGGTTAATTTTCCTTCAATCATGGATCCTTTGTATTATGTTTTCTTTTCCTGATATAGGAGCGTTGGCCCACAGCCAAAGAAATCTATTAGCTTTACTAACACAGTAAAAGGAGGTCAAACAAAAGGATATGTTGGTGCAAACCAAAGCAGAATGGCTATGTCAAAAACCTTGACGGTTCTACCTGAGATAAAAACAGAAAAAATGAATATTTCTACCCCAAGGACAGTCATACAGGTAATGTTCTTTAGAATTCTGAGTTTATTTGAAAATGGCACCATAAAGAACTTGACTGAAATGTTAAAGGTAGAAAATATACTGCTTTGAAATAACCGACTCACTTCTAATATCGATATATTGATTTTGTTGGGTCTTTACCACATAACATATCTTACAGCACAATATTGGCTGTTGGCTCCTATAATTCATTACTAATCATGAGACCATTAGAGTGGAGTGAGGAAAGTCTACTCATGACCTTAAGAACTAGTTGATTATGGTATTAATAATAGCTAACCTAGCTATAATATAGATAGTAAAGCTAACATCCATTCTTCTTTGCAGTGTACCCTAGAAAATATAAAATAAATTGTCACAAAATTAGTTATCTCATTAGAAAACTAAGAATTGAATTTTTAAAAATTTTAATCAAAGTATAATATATATACAGACAAGTATGTAATATATAAATCTGAATGGGCTAGGCAATGATATTTTTAGATATGACACAAAAAAACACAGTCCATTAAAGATAAAATTGGTAAATTGGACTCCATCAAAATGAAAGCTTCTTCTGGTCTCTGAAAAACATTGTTGCTACAAGAATGAAAAAAGAAGCCATACAGTGGGAAAAATTATTTATAAAGCATATATCTGATAAAGTACTTGTATCCAAAATATATAAACAATTCTCAAAACAATATTAAAACGACCTAATTTTTAAAACGAGCAAAACAGTTTTTAAAGATTTTATTTATTTACTTGAGAGAGAGAATGAGTGCAGAGGGAGAAGCTGACTGCCCTGCTGAGCAGAGACCACCCCCCACCCCCCAACTCAAGGCTCAATCCCAGGACCCGGAGATCATGGCCTGAGCCAAAGGCAGATGCTTAACCAATTGAGCCACCCAGCACCCCATGAACAAAACATTTGAACAAATACTTCAACAAAGTACATATACAGATAGCAAATGAGCACATCAAAAGATGATCGGCATTAGTCATTAGGGAAATGTAAATTGAAACCCTGAGATACTGCTGAACACCTATTAGAATGGCTAAAATTAAAAGACTGATCATACTAAATGTGGGCAAGTATGTGGAAGAACCAGAATTTTCATACACTGCTGGTAGGAATGGAAAATGAAAAACCATTTGGCAGTTTATTCAATGTTAAATATATACCTACTATACCACCCAGCCATTCCACTTCTAGGTATCTACTCAAGAGAAAAGAAAGTATATGTTTATACAAAAACTAGTACACAAATTTTTATAGCATCTTTGTTTATAATAGCCAAAAAATGAAAACAAGCTAATATAATTTTAATAAATGAATACTATATATTTGCATATATATTACATGTACCATTATCTTAGTCAACTCAGGCTGTTAAAACAAAGTACTATTGGCTGGATGGCTTATAAACAAATTTATTTCTCACAGTTCTGGGACTGGAAGCCCAAGATAAGAATGCCAACATGGTTGAGTTCTGGTAAGGACCCTCTTCCAGGTTGCAGACTGCTAACTTCTCAATATATCCTCAGTGTATTCTCAATGTATCACATGGTGGAAAGACATTTAACTAACTCTCTGGCCTCTTTTCAGAGGGCACTCACTAATCCCATTCATGAGGTCTCCACCTTCATGACCTAATTATTTTTCAAAGGTTCTACCTTCCAATACCATCACATTGGAATTAGGGGGCCAACTTGAATTTTGCGTGTACACAAACATTCCGTCCATAACAATCATATATTACTGTGTATACATTATATGTATTATGTATATATTATACATACAATACATACATATTATATGGTATTACAACATGTAGAAGGGATAGTGCATCATGACTAACTGAGGATAATGTATGCAAGGTTGTTCCAACATTTAAAAATCAATACTACTTGGCATATTAATAGACTGGGAGGGGAGAATCTATGGGATCATCAGAACAGATAAAGAAAAAGCATTTGAAAAAATTTAATATCCATTCATTTTTTAAAAAAATTTTTTAAACCATTTAGCTAATCTGAAGAGAAAGGATTTCCTCAGGGCATTCTGAAAAAACTACAGCTAACATCAGACTCAGAGATGAAAGACTGAAAGCTTTTCCCCTCAGATCAGGAACAACACAAAGATGCCCACTTTTGCTACTTCTCAGCATAGTGGGTGTCCAAGCCAGAGCAATTAGTGAAGAAGAAGAAAGAAAAATCGTCCAAAATGGAAAGGAAAAAGTAAATCTCAGTTCACAGATGACATGATCTTATATGTAGAAAACCCCAAAGATGCCACATTTAAGAAAAAAAAAAAAAAGCAAACAACTTAGAACTAATCAATTCAGCAAAGTTTTAGTATAGAAAATTAACACACAAAAATCAGTTGTGTTGCTATACACTAGCAACAATGTTTTGGATTCTATCCAATCCAAAAAGAAAACAATCCAAAAAGAAAATTAAGAAAAAATATTTCTATTTACAATAATATCAAAAAGAATAAAATACTTAGGAATAAACTAAGGAAATGAAAGACTTGTACACTGATAACTACAAAAATTGCTGAAAGAAATGAAAGAAGACGATAATAAATGGGAAAACATCCCTTGTTTATACATTGGAATATTTCTTAGGATGTCAATTCTACCCAAAACAAGATACAGATTCAAAGCAATCCCTATCAAAATCCCAATGACATTTTTTGTGGAAATAAAAAAATCCATCCTAAAATGGTATGGAATATTAAGAGACCCCAAATAGTCAAAACGATCTTGAAAAAGAACCACAAAGGTGAAGGTCTCACACGTCCTGATTTCAAAACTTACTATGAAGCTGTAGTAATCAATACAGTGCACTACTAGCATAAAGACAGATATATGGACCAATGGAATAGAATAGAGGGCCCAGAAATAACCCCTTACATAAAAGTTCAAATGATTTTCAACAAGGATGCCAATTCTATGCAATGAGGAAAGGACAGTCTTTTCAACAAAGGTGTTGGAAAAACTGGATATCTACATGCAAAAGAATGATGTAGGACCCTTATATACAAAAATAACGCCAAATGTATCAAGCCCTTACGGCTAAAACTATAAAACTCTTAGAAGAGGGGTGTCTGGGTGGCTCAGTTGGTTAAGTGTCCAACTCTAGGTTTTGGCTCAAGTCATGATCTCAGGGTCCTGGGATAGAGCCCCAAGTCTGGCTCCATGCTTAGCGCAGACTGCTTGTCCCTCTCCCTCCCCCTCTGTTCTTCGAACCCCATCCCTCACGTGTGCTCCTGTGAGTGCTCTCTGTCTCTCTCTCTCAAATAAATAAATGTAGGGCTTTCTTCCCCAAAGCAGAACTTCAGCATTTCTCATCCTGCCCCCAAATGCCTGTTGCTGAGGCTAAGTTCTGGGTGAGTACAGTTGAGAAGTATGGACTCCTTTCTTCTGCCTAATCCCTACTGATGAACTCTACCTTGAGTGTGGCACACTGAGAATACTGAGGTCCTGCCCTGGATCATGAGGAAATGGTTCCATGTCAGGAGAAGCAAGCTGATAATATCTCAGGTTACTGCTCTGCCCCCTCTATGGAGCATTCAACATCTAGAATGAGGTTGTCACTCATAGAGAAGCTTACCATTGTTTCCACTCCCATGGTGCAGAGATTTTATCTAGGGGGAGAAGCAAGCTGTAAAACAAATAGCTCCTAATATCTTCCAAAAGGAACTAACTTCATTTGCAACAGAGCATGGGGAAGTTTGAACCTAAAAGTACACTCAAATACAGTGGAGGTTTTGGTGAAAGGGAATTGAGTTAGATTCATGGATTTTTAAAAAAGATAATTAGTTCAGTGAAGATACACCCTAGACTGTAGGCTAGCTAGTTAACTGGGAACGTGGGAATAAGGCAGCCGGGAGGAGCATTTTGGAGTGAGAATACCAAACATTGACCTCAGAAGTTAGTCTCCGGAAGCAGCCACAATTATTTAGAGAATCTGTGCCCCAGGGCATTGTTGAAAACTAGAGCAATCAGCTGGTAATTAGGGAAGCTTTAATAGCTGAGTGTAGTCAAGAGTAGTAGAGAGCCCTAACAGTACCATTGTCATCCCAGGATGGCTGTGGGGATACCCAAAGCTGCTTATCCCTGAGAAGCAACATCAGAGGGTTAACATTGTGTGGGAGTTTTGGGAGGGGGCATATTAGTTTTCTACAGCTACATTAGCAAAGTACTACAAACTGTAAGACTTAAAACAATAGAAGTTCATTGTCTCACAGTTCTGGAGGACAGAAGTCTGAAATCAAGGTGTTAGTGTAGATATGCACCCTCTGAATATGATAAGGAAGGATTTGTTTTGCTTCTAGCTCTGGTAGTCCTAGACATTTCTTGGCTTGTAGATCTATCACTGCAATCCTCTGTCTTCACATTGTGTTTTCCCTGTGTATTTTATGATGTCTTACCTCTATGTGTATCTATGTCCACATTTCCCCCTTTTTATAAAGACATCAGTCATACTGGATTAGGGTTCTCACCCTAATGATCTCAACTTAAGTCAGCAAAGACCCTATTTCCACAATCTGAGGTACTGGGGGTTAGAACTTCAACATATCTTCTTTGGGAGAACACAGTTCAACCCATTATGGGGAAGTAGATCTCACAAAAGTAATCTAGGTAATCACTAAACAAACAAGCAAATAGAAATTACAAGTTTTAGAAAGAAGGAAGATATCCATACCTAGGGTTGCTACAATATGTTAGCAAACTCTCCAGTTTCAAACAAAACATAGGGCATACAAAGAAATAGAAAAATATGACCCATACTCAAGAAAAAAGACAGGCAATAGAAACTGTGGGAAGAAACCGATGTCAGATTTAACAAAAAGAGATTTAAAAGAAATCATTATAAATATCTTCGTAGAACTAAAGAGACCATGATTAAAGAAGTAAAAAGAGGTATGATGACTGTCATATCCAATTCAGAAAATATCAGTAAAGAGGCTCAACATCACTGATCATCAGGGAAATACAAATCAAAGCTAC